TTAGATGGAGGGAGAAAAAAGAGGATTCTTACATTTCACAATTAGCTCATAAATGAATGTAATGGATTCGACTGAAATTCGAACTCAGTTCTCCGACGATTTCTCAATCAAAGCCGCTATTCCATTATTACACACACACATATATATATATATATATATATATATATATATATATATATAAATATATATATATATATATATATTATATATATATATATATATATATATATATATATATACGTTCAAACAGTAATATTCCATAGTTACAAGTTATTACAATAATATATACATATATATATATATATATATATATATATATATATATATATATATATATAATTACTAACTAAAGTGAATAAATAGGCAGATTTAATAGATTTGGGGCGTTTTTCTTCCTATTTTCAGATGTTATCAGAACTGATACTGATCATCCTTTCAGTGGAATGACTTGGCGAAATAGAAAAGAAAAAGATTCGTCATGGAAAGTCCATTGAATGAATATTATATCACGCAGCAAAATGAATTACTGTACGAGAAGCTATTTCGCCTGTCTGCTAAAATTTGCTTTATTAAAAAGAAAATCTCAGTATTCCGAGCACTTTGTCCGATCGTGCGTATCTGACTCAATCCATACAAACCTGGCCGATAGTAGTTGCGACGTAATTTAGCTTCAAGTTTAGGCCAGTGAGCTGATATTTCGAAGACTCGTTGTCAACGTGAAACAGTAATAGATACATGCATAATGTTCCTGTCGTCTTGTAACGATGACATTTTTTTTTCAAATCCTAAACGTCACGAAACACACGTATTATGTATGTATGTACGTATGTGTGGGATGTGTCGAGTTGTCGTTCTGTCTCGGTTTATTTATATCAAATATATGTAAATCAGATGTATGCAAACAGAACGAACAAGAAATGTCTGTTAAGCCTTTTGGTTAGTCTATGGTGTCGAATACGTCGTTTAATGTCAGGCGGAAACAAACGATGCATAAGACGCGTTTCTCACTGTCTTCAAGAGGTCAACGGTTAAGATTTATCAGACACTGATAAAAGTTAAAACTTTCAAGCTTGTCCTCACTAAAAATGTTTTACACAAAAAAATACACTTCATAAAAACAATATTTTGTATGAAGACCATTGTCCGTCAATACACGGAAACATTTTGTAATAAAAAAAAGCGAACAACATATATTAGTTAAAACTACAACAAACATCGAGAAAAGATTTCACTGTTATATCACTCCAGATGTTTAAAAATAATAACAAATCATGGAGGTCCTGTATATCAAAAGAATATATCGATAAAATGTGCTTTTATCTAATCACTCATATTCTAAAGGTCCTTGAAAGTGTAACATCTGAATACACACATACACATACATACATAGATATATATATAGATATATATATATATATATATATATATATATATATATATATATATATCACTAGAAGACAAATACACCTATGTGTGTATTCAAATTACATATATATATATATATATATATATATATATATATATATATATACATATGTAATCATACATAAATGTATATTAATATAGACGTTTAATTTAGGGATACATGTGTTTGAGTAAGTATACTTTTTCATAATCAGTGTAAATATATGTCTACCGGTCTGAACCATTCGAGAAAATATGCCTTCATATATATATATATATATATATATATATATATATATATATATATACATGAAATCATATATAGTAATAATAATATTAAATCCGTAAATGGTAAGGATAAACCAAGTAGTGATTTTCAATATAAAAAATTAAAAAGCTAGATCCATGAAGAGAGCTGAGTACTTTTACATACAGAGCAATATGATATATATCAAAAAGGAAAAAAAATTAACACATCAAAGAATTCGTTAATAAATTTATTTGGACAGATAAATTTTTAATACCTGCCACAAAATACAATTTATTTTAAAATTAAATTGCAAGAGAAAATTACTAATAATGATTTGGGATATGGAGAAACTGATACAGATACATAGATATGAACATAGATGGATAGGGTATGCGCAGACGGAGACACATATACAGATAGGGTATGCGCAGACGGAGACACATATACAGATAGGGTATGCGCAGACGGAGACACATATATAGATAGGGTATGCGCAGACGGAGACACATATACAGATAGGGTATGCGCAGACGGAGACACATATACAGATAGGGTATGCGCAGACGGAGACACATATACAGATAGGGTATGCGCAGACGGAGACACATATCCAGATAGGGTATGCGCAGACGGAGACACATATACAGATAGGGTATGCGCAGACGGAGACACATATACAGATAGGGTATGCGCAGACGGAGACACATATACAGATAGGGTATGCGCAGACGGAGACACATATACAGATAGGGTATGCGCAGACGGAGACACATATACAGATAGGGTATGCGCAGACGGAGACAGATAGGTAGGATATAAACTGACTGAAATCGACGGGATATGAACTGACTGAGATAGATAGATATAAATGGGATATAGATAGATAGAGAGATAGATTGATAGATATAAATGGGATATAGATAGATAGATAGATAGATAAATAGATAGATAGATGAGATGGTTAGATGGGATATGTACTGAGATAGATAGATAGATAGATATATAAATATAAAGATAGATAGATAGATAGATAGATAGATGTAGATGGGATATAGATGGATAGATGTGATGGTTAGATGGGATATGTACTGAGAAAGATAGATAGATAGATAGATAGATAGATAGATAGATAGATATAAATGGGATATAGATAGATAGATATAAATGGGATATAGATAGATAGATAGATAGATAGATGAAGATGGGATATAGATAAATAGATGAGATGGTTAGATGGATATGTACAGAGATAGATAGATAGATAGATAGATATAAATGGGATATAGATAGATAGATATAAATGGGATATAGATAGATAGATAGATAGATAGATAGAAATGAGATATAGATAGATAGATATAAATGGGAGATATATCGGTAGATTTCAGAGATAGATATATAGATAGATAAATCGATAGATAGATAATTAGACAGATATGAACAGAATGAGATAGATAGATAGATAGATAGATATGCCAATGTTGAAATGTTGCGATTCACCAATATTTGTGTACTTTATCGCTTAGTATTTATTGGCTAAAGACTCAATCAATATTTGAGTTTGTTATTAGGGATTGTCCAGTCTTAATGCCAATTTATGTACTTGTCAGCCAGCCGCCGTATTTATTTCTGTGTCCGAAAATAAGCTTGTGGCAAATAAGCGTTAACTCTCGACGAATCAACTGTGGGCGGGCTATAATCGATACATGATTGAGTATGAAGCCTAAATAGGAATTGTGTGGGTTTTCCTTTCTCTAAAATGTCCTTGTCTAGATGCCGTATGCATCTCGGAATTTGTGAATTATTCGACCGTATACCGAGTACAACTCGTCATCTACTTGAATGATTTTAGATAATTCGAAGTAATGAATATTTCTGCACGGGCTCCTGTGGTTATAAGTGGGTTGGAAATTTGAACGTATTATTATTTAATCTGTCAAGATTCATAGCAGAAATGTATATATCACTACGCCTTTCATTTGGAAGGAAATGTTTTAATACCGTGACAATGTTATTTTACTTATTTAAAAAAAAATAATTATGTATTCGCATAGACATATTGGAAACCACATATATACATTAATACATACATACACACTCACACATAATCACACACACATATACATATATATATATATATATATATATATATATATATATATATATATATACAGATATATATGTCTACATATATATATACATATATGAATTATTCATACAAAAAACAAATACAAAGGTTAATGATTTAATTGGCGAGAAATCCATCGTCGCGAACAATTCAAATAATATACGAAAATATAAAAAGAGCCTTGTTTTTATAAATTTCTGTTGCATAAGTTATGCAACTTATGCATCTCGAAATAAGAACTTACGCAACAGAAATTTATAAAAACAAAGATCTTTTCATTCATAAACAGGTTCGGGGTATTTGTATATTATTTGAATTGTACAAAAGAATTCTCCTATTACCATATTATTACAAAAACGCACAATCTTCAAATTTAAAAATTCAACCTCTGCGTTGCGCCGCACGCCCCCCCCCCCAATTCTTACAATTAACAATAACACATTTCTAAAAACATTTTATTTTTCGGATTACATCTATATTTTCATTGTACTGTTATTACCGAGAAGTAAAAAACAAGAACAAATCTATTTCCATACCTGGGGATGTCTATAGGAACAGACGAAAGCTTGTAAAAACTAAAAAAAGACTTTATACAACTGGAATTTATAAACAGGGATCATATCATTCATATACAGGTTCGGGGTTGGTGTATCTTATTGAAACTGTTTGCGAAGATGTATTCTCGCCATTTAAATCATTAACTTCTATATTTGTTTTTTTGTATGAATGATTCGTGAATTTATAAATTATAATTTGCACCTTTAATTGATATATATATATATATATATATATATATATATATATATATATATATATATATATATATATATATGATTTACTTATCATGATTAAATAAATTACTGCTATTCCAACAACCGAATTTGTATTATCTAAGTGGCTAGGAAAATGTATTATTGTCTTCGAGTTTAATATTTATTCGGTGGCATGTGTTTTCTTCAATTTTATTTTTTTTATATTTGTGTTCACGTATAGTAAATTTGCTGAGATCATCTGTTCGTCTTTGAATTTGCAAACACCTGCACATGATTCTTTTTTATTCTTTTTGCAGGAAGAATTGTGTACATACTTCTCTATTTTGCATCAGTTTTACTTTTTCTTTTTATACTCGTGTTTACATACGATACAATTGCATGTCTTATGTAAAGTTTGCGCCCACCCTCAGCAGTCATGTGAAGAAAACAGGTAACTGTCATTGGTTTTCAAAGTTCAAAACAATTATATTGTCCTTTTAATTCGTTTTTATATATAATCAGTTGTATGGCTATTAGTTTGTAACTCTGGGTTTCTTTTTTGTCATCATCAGACAAACTTCTGGTGATCAAAAGCGTGAATGAAACCCAGAGTTACAAACTAATATATATATATATATATATATATATATATATATATATATATATATATATATATATATATATATTCTAGTTGAATCCATTACATTCACTTATGTGCTTGGGAAAGGTATGAATCCTCTTCATCTCCCTCCAGGTATGGGTAAAATAGCAGGACAGACTGGGTTCTATAGCCTTGGATGGTAACTGGTCTAGGAGGACAACTCTGAATTCAAAACCTGCAGAGGGTCGTTTGGGAACCTTGTGGCATTCGGTGCACCAGGTCTCTGTATGTGTCCCTTCAAAAAGTGTGGATGGTCCTGCACGAGACCTTCACCACTATAATCAAATCTCATGTGCCGGTGTCGGGCTGTCGGTTTTCAGGAAATTGATCTGCTTGACCCTCATACGTCGAATCTCGAGAGTCGATTATATATATATATATATATATATATATATATATATATATATATATATATATATATATATATATATATATATATATCCGAATGTAATGAGAACGAAAAATAATATATAAGTTCAACGTTCAAAGTCTTAATTCAAAGAGGGCTCAATACCGGCAGTAGAGTAATAATTATTTGTTATAATCTTTTCATATAGAAAAAACAATTAAATCATTATAATGATGCAACCTCATTTCTGTACATTTAATTGTAGCTCGACACGATCAAGGTGCATCGAAATGCAAATTTGTTTTGCAGGTCTGAAATATAGAAGGCTATAGCTTTTTAGAGCTTTCATGAAATAAAGGTTATTATCAATGGTATTTCAAGTGTTTGATATTCATTAATTCATATATATATATATATATATATATATATATATATATATATAATATATCGAACGTATGTCTATATAAAAATGAATATTGAAGTTCACACCACGTTTGTTTCATGGTGATACGCAATCTATCTCCAGCTATGACAACTGCTTATAAGCATGAAAAATACACATTTAGATAGATAGATAGATAGATAGATAGATAGATATTTTCTTTAATTTATAAAGAATTCATCATTCTGTGTGTAGCTTCATAGTCAGTTCGTCTGCTTAATGAGTTATGATTGTTTTTGCGTAGGTTTGCAATATTAACTTTTTTATACGAGCGTGGGTCTTACAGAAATGTATTTTGCGCGCGTTTGGTTTTTCGGGCAAGCAGTAAATGTATCGACTCATTTATTATGCGTGCATTTACGCACGTGTTTTTTCACGCGCATGTGGAGGTATCATGCGAGAAAGAAGAAGTGAGTCGCCGGTACCATCAACATATATCAGTCTTCAACTTCAAGTACCCCAGAAGCTTTTATTAGGTAACCTAATCCAGTTTCCTCTTTTCTAGAACATCCCCCCTTTTGTGCGATATTTGGGTTATTACTTAGAAAGATTTTGAAATTAAACAGAAATGTGGCATCTAAGTTTTTAGTTAGAAATAGTTATCTCTTGATTTTTATTTACTCCTTTAAGCCTGAATTAATGAACTGTTTCAGTGACCATAAAAAAATTCAAGCATTTTTTTAGGTCATTGGATTATGCCTTTGTGTTATTTACATTGCGAGCAAAATGCAATTTCCTCAGCGCTGAAGAGGGGACTTGAATCGATAGACACAACGATAGTTTTACAGAAGGATGCTGAGAATGTCATGAACGGAGCGCGTGAGCAAAGACAAAGAACGTGTTAAGTGAAATTAAAACAAAAAAAGGACACTTGTATATAGAATGAAAAAGAGACAGTTGAAAGCGACAAAATGAGGCAAGGTGGGTTGTGACTCACAAGATATTTTCTTATTAAACTTTCTCTATTACAAAGATCGAAAACAACCAAACACAGAGGGTTATTGAACGAGGTGCATGATACGACGTTTAGAGGGGGAAACGAAGATGACGAGGATATGGAAATAACGATTGAGCCTTAATTTGAAGATGTTTAATTGTTCGGGGAAGCATAGATGCGAGATTCTATTCCGCATTATACCTCTTGGAAAGAAGCTTTCTTACGAACGGAATACGTAAAGAATGATACTGACTCAACCCAGTGGACATAACAAGGTTGGTCCTGAATGCAATGGTCTGAGCTGATAGTACCAATGAATAGATGTCCTAATAGAGTAGCATCCTTACGTCTGTGAGTAACTGATTGTAAGCTGGGAAATAAGATGTGCAAATCAAATAAGCAAGAGGGTGGGGGGCATCTAAAATCATGCCAAAAAGCTTTCTGTCAATGGATGGTGAACAATTGAGTAGGAGATACAGTAAGACTAATATTTTAGGATAGGAAGTTATGAAAATCAAAGATCCCCTACGTCCTGAAGAGAAAAGACACATTGAAGAATAAGAATACAATAAATGCACTTACACGAGATGCAGGTCTCAAGATAAACCTTTCCAAAATAGAAATTAAGATCTAGGATTTAAAATAAATACTATGATGGCACCTAATCTGAATAGGAATTAGCAAATACTAAAACACTTCTAACACCTCATTATATGGATCAGATGTAACAAATTTACTGCAGAAAATTGAACATAGAATAGGTTGCCCCAGAGGTAGTTTCATAAATTTCCCACAAAACCAAAACATTAACCTGAAAACTTGTTTCACGCCTTTAAATATTGATTGATAGATTCGTTTTAGATTTTGTTTGAAGCCAGCAAATACCTTTAGATTGTGGAGTTGTTTTAGATAATAATAGTTTAGTAAAGCACGCCCTACTAATTAACCCATAGTTGGGGGGAAAGAGGTGGATTCATATCTTTCCCAGGAGTATTTACGCGTATGTTAATATAACGAACCCAACTGAAATTGGAACTCGGCTCTCCGATTCACAATTCTAAGCCATTATCCATTACACCACCCGCACATGCAAGCCAAGAGCAACAGGTATTCCGAAGAGGTCATCCATCTAGGTACTGATAGGATCGACGTTGCTTAGCGTCGATGAACGTGAACCTGTGTTTCAATGTGATGTTGCCGCAATCTATGTTCTTAAATAGATTCGTCAGCTTAAGACTTTCATGCGGACGTCATGCATGGCCCCTAAACCGATACAGAAATATATATATATATATATTCTAAGCTGTTTAAAACTGTCTTCTCAGATCAGTGGTTAAAAATGCCTTTGAGCGAATGGAGCCGGTAGGTCTAGTCGAAGACCACTATTCTTCGAACTACGGAATCACAAACTCTAAGGGAAAGTAACGACATAATAAAAAAGCTGAGATTAGATATTAAATATGCAAACTGGATTGAATGTAGCTATATATGTTCCAGATGGGCTTATATTTTTAGGGTACCACTTCTGTGACGCAGAAGTAGTAGCAAAAAATGTTCAAATTTATCACATTTTTAATATGCTCCCCTGATTTGAACACTTGAAGATATAGATGTCATAATCAAAATGTTGACATGAATTAAAAGGTTAAGATGGCAACCTCCATCAATAGTAGAAAAGGCGATAATATCTACTGGAACTTAAGAAACGTATTTTCCAGAAAAATTGTTTTACGAAAGACAATGAATGCAAATGTTTCCTTTTAAGGAAACGGCTAATATTACCCTGTCAGATTTATGTCTGATAACCGCTTCTATAAAAAATGTGCAACGCGAACACATGCAGACATAAAACTGAATGCTTATTTCAAATGCAATCTCATAGATACAGTGTGCATAGAGAACGTCGGGGGAAAGAGATGGTGTTAGCTACAATAAAACTAGAGGGTTGTCTGGGCCAGGATTACTTAAATCCTCTTATATCTAATTTATATAATACTAGAAGTTGATTATGTCATTGTCTCGACTGTATCTAAAACAAACTGACAGCCAGAGATAACCAGTCCATCGAGCCAAAAACATTGACAAAGAAATAGAAAAACTGTGGCTTTGATACATTCATGATTCCCTTTAATCAGACGGTCAGTCTAGTCTGACAAAACCATTTTGCGGTATAACCAGTTTAGTTCTCACCGTGTGGCCCGCGCTTCTCGCTCTTCACCAAGAAATCTAGGGAATATATAAAAGACAATGGAAGGAAAAAAAACTTAACACATCATCCTAAAATCACGTAATAAATTTATTTCAGCAGTTAAGTTTTTAATACCTGCCTTATCAGACAGAAATTACAAAATAGTTCAAATTCATCCAGACAATATCTTTCAAATTATTTTAAAATAAAGTTTAAATTATGTGAACTGATATAGTATTATCTAAATAAAGTCTAAATTACGTGACCTGATATAGATAGGTAGATAGATACAGAGAGTGAGAGAAAACTGGAAAGAGTTGGGGAGAGAGAATAAGAGAATAGGGGAGAGAAACTGAGTGAACCTACGTCTAGGAGTTAACACTGCACGGTGACAAACAGTTTTTCCACTTCAGTGTAATCTCAAACCCGATTTCTTTAGGACAATGATCCACCGCACAAGGCCTTGGTTACAGTGGCTGTTGTGCGTCGCTGTGACTTTAGAGGGATTGATCACTTTCCCTATTCTCCGGAATTGGCCCAATCTGATTATCATCAGTTCGCCAACATGACAAAATCTTTTTACCAATGGGAACCAAGTACCCCGATAAGGGTCGGTGGTTATTGTGTCAAAAAAATAAATCATATTACATGAGAGTATCTTTTCAACTGACCATCGTACACATAAACCACACACACACACACACACACACACACACATATATATATTAATATATATATATATATATTTATAGATGTATATATGTATGCATGTATGCATGTATATGCACTTAAAGTCCCTTATGAATAGATATTTTAAATGTAATTAAATTCTAGGAATCCACAATGTCACGTTCACATGAAACCATATTAAACCTCAAAAACATCACGTTCACATGTTATCAAAATTTTAAATTAAAAATCATGAAAAAGATCCAAATGATCAATAAAAAGTCATTGGATTTCAATTCTCTTTTATTCTTGAGAAGCAAAGAGTCTCGTCGAATGTTTGAGCCTTAAGATTATATAACAATGAAAATGCAACACACGCACACACACACACACACACACATATATATATATATATATTTATTTATTTATTTATACATATATACACATATATATATTTATTTATACATATATACATACATACACACACACATATATATATATATATATATATATATATATATATATATATATATATATGCACAATGTGTGGCAATATATCTTCATTCAAACATGTTTCATTGAATAATACAGACATTTTGTGTCTACTTATATTTGTACTGATCCTTCCCCGTTATCTAACCAGTCTCTTGCTGTTAAGAGGAAATTCATCAAAGAAGGCACTGCAGGTTTTTCATACCCTAAGTACTTTCGATATTTTCCAAGATTATCTTCCGGGGTAAATTACAAACTCAAACTTATTGTAACTGCGAAAGATCTTTATTCCGTTGTGATGGCGTGTTCGAACTCTAGGCAAGTTCTTTTTATTCACTTATGAGCCAATACGAAGGCATGAATCCATCTCTTCTGTGGGTAAAAAGAAAGACATACTTGGACATGTATCCTTGCTGTTAAAGTCTGCAGTAAAACCAGCCCGGAAAGGTTTAGGCTTCATCAGGCTATTTCGCCCTGGACACACCACAGCTGCAGTACATGTTGAGTAAAGGAGTTATTATAGATTTGACATTTTTATTACTTCAACTATTATTGTAATGGATACTCGTATTTGAAATAGAAGCCCCTTTTTTTTTTTTTTTTTTTTGTTGCTTTTTTTTAATTTTTAAACTTCTGTCTTGAAAAATATCTTCTTCAGGAACGAAACTAAGTACCACTTAGTTGGTTTGGCTTGGTTTGTTTTATGGCATATCAACCTCAATTGATTATTTAATACCGACAACATTTTTATTGTTAGTAACATTTTCTTTCAAAAATGTATTGATGATAATAATTTTTTTTTACAAAAAGTTATTTCTGTTATTAAAATTTATTTTTGCATCTTCATAGTGTTTTGGGAGGTTAACTATTTGCCCATATATGAGACCCTGACAGGTGCTAACACCCCAGGTCCGGATGGACCTGGGAGCACCAGCTTCTCAAAACCTCCTGATCAAAGGCCTTGCTGTCGGACGTAGTTTATCGTCTTACCCAGGACGCGGATGTAGTTTATCGTCATACCCAGGGCGCCCACTTATTTGGTGATAAAATGGAAGAGAGAGTGTAGGTGAATTGTGACGCTCTCTGTAGCCGAGTAGTAAAGCACTCCGGATCAAACGATGGGTTATCCTAAAGTGGTGGGCGCATGTTCGATACTTGCCGAAGAGCACATTTTTTCTCGAATAGGCTGGCAGATAGAAGTAATACACACTGTTCAAAATAAAAAAATATAAATCGGGAGTCTATTTCAAATACGAGTATCCACTATAACAGCTCCTATGTACAATATAACATTTAAAACAATAAAAATATGTTAGAAATTTTGACGGTCGTTTCGAGTATAGAATCCAGAGGTTAGCAGTGAATATTTCGGAGCAAAGTAGGAAAGCGTAGTTCTTCCTTCTGTCATCTTCGCAGGACAAGTTGGCACTGGTCATTCGGGTAGGATAAACAAAAATGGCCGCCTTTATACACGACGGATACAATGTTCTGCGGCTTCTGATTGGTTAACCTTCTATTGGTAGACTATAAAGGGAGTTAAGTCATTTTGATTAAATCACTAGTTACACGTCACATACACAAAAAACTGTAACAATATATGCGTACGTAATATAATTTCTGAAACGTTGAAAACAAAATATAATGGGCCTAAATCAATACGGAACAAGAACATCAATGCTGACAACTATGAAGAAAATACGTGTTTGTGTGTGTGTGTATGTGTGTGTGTTATAAGTATATAATGTCATGATTTCCGGAGCATGTGCATGTCGTGTTTCTCTCGTTTTTATATTACAGGAATAAACGATGCACTGAGACGTGTGAATTGCATTGAGAGCTCATTGAAATTGCTTTTGGCAACTAAATGTATATGCAAAGGTAATATCACTTGGAAAAACATTGTCAAAAAAAATAAAAATAAAAAAATAACAAAGCAAAAGAAATCATAAACTCCTTCAAATTTGCACGTCTCGAATACTGCATTGTTAAACACAATGTCTGCGATGCGATCAACTCTATTCATAGTGACATTACTTCCCTAATCTATTCCTTAAGACATTTTGTGATGTAAATACCTGAAAGTTGTGGACAAAAACTTGTATTTCTCTCTCTCTCTCTCTCCTTATTTATATTTATGAACACACACACACACACACATATATATATATATATATGTGTATATATACATATATATATGTATATATATATGTATATATAAATATAAATATATATATAGATATATATATAGTATATATACAAGTTTATATCACAATATATATATATACATCATATAAATGTGTGTGTGTGTGTGTGTGTAAAAATATATAAATATATATATATAAAATAGCTGTCCACAACTTTCAGGCAAAATGTCACAGGAATAGATATAAAAAAATATATAAATATATATTATAAAAACTGGAGTATTTAAGGATACCCGTCTACTAGGGTGGCTAGTCAATCCCTGTTGCAGACACCTGCTCTGTGGATATTACTGTAACTATGATGAGCAGACCTTTGTCACAGTTTCTGGGAAAGAGCGTGTTATCTAGCTTATTTAACAATGTGAACAAGGCCAGCACGCTCAAGCAATCGGTCGCAATGACTTGTGACGTCGTGCTAACACAGCTATCAACGGTACCCAGGGATTCCGCACACACACACACACACAAACACACACACTCACACACATTCACACACACACACATATTTATTGCGTAAACGTTATTTTTAATGGATGCCCATATTTGTTCTGTTGTTATTTATTTATTAAACAGTATATTTATTTATTTCCATCTACCTGCCTGAATATTCGACAAATCTTATTGAAAAAAAAATATGTGTTTTCTAATAAGATTTCTCGAATCTCGAGGCCGGCAGATGGAAATAAATAAAGATACTCTTTAATGAATAAGAGAGCATCTACTCAAATATGGCTTCCCATTAAAAATAACATTTAAGCTTATATATATATATATATATATATATATATATATATATATATATATATGTATAAGTGCGTATGTATGCAGAAAATAGAAAGGAACACGTTGGGTGCATAATCCGGATTTCCTTAGTATTTTTGTTTTTATTTTTATGAAGACAGTGCTCCATACAGAAGTAGAGCTTATATTATAATATTTCTGTTTAAAAATATGATTCCTTTGCTACATAAGAGTTCTCATGTTTCAAAAACGAGAGCCGTAACCATCCAAATAATTATTAAAATTAAGTTGAATGTTTAGTCCCGTTTCATCTTCAAGCGAAATTTTAATTTAAAAATCAAAATCGAAAATTTCGCTTGAAGATGAAACGGGAATAAACACCTGAATTCAACTTAATTTTAATAATTATTTGGATGGTTTGGCTATCGTTTTTGAAACATGAGAACTCTTATGTAGAAGGAAGGACGATAGGAAACAAATAATTTTTAATATAAATATATATATATATATATATATATATATATATATATATATATACGTAAGATACTGTGTTGAAACTTGCATGTCCAAATTAAGAAAAGCTTCCATAATAAATTTGGTCAACTGTTTAGATTTTGGGTAGTGTGTCGGGCCGAACACATTTCAGCATCCTATCGTATAATCCTTACTACAGAATCTTCTTTGCTTTTTTCATTCTGTGTTTACAAGATGATATATGTTGGTGTATGCTCTCACTATAGGAAGTTAATTGAGTTTCAGATAATCTTCTTTACCATTGTAGGTGTGTAGGCGACGTAGTTATTTCCTATGCTTAAAAATATCTAGTAAAAGGACAGGACAACGTAGACTCCTATGAATATCGCTTATTATTTCCAAAGCTTAGAATAGTCTCGCATTAACTTACAGAAGATGGTCTGGCTCATAGATTGCCTTCATAATGATTTACTTACAGCTGACGCTAACTGTCCTTTCGTCTTTATCTCTTCTAAAACTCAGGGACTTGGATACGCAAATAGACTCACTTGGTTAATCTTCCAGTGCTGTTGTTTTTAGATAGGTAATTAATAACAAGTTGACGTTAACTGATTTCTCCAGACGGCTTCTGTCCAGATGGCCTTCAGATGATATTTTCTGATATTATTTTTGAATCAAACTCTTCATCTACACTTTTCTGGTCAGCTTTCTTGATTAGATCGCAGCCATTTTTCGCTGTGTTCATTACTGGATCTTTCTTTTTTATGTAGCATGTCCTTTCAGGACGTAGGCGATCAGGGCTCTCAACCTCCCCCTATCCCTTGAAGTTCTCAACAAGTTCCTTCCCTTTGCTTCCATCCTCAGACCACGTTCTGTCATCCACTTGCTTAAGTCCGCCAGGTATGTCACGCTTTGTTTTCTCTTGTCTCTCATTCCCTCTATTCGACCCGTGAGTATCAAATTCTCCAGACCCTCTTTTGTCAGTATGTCCCAGAAATTTCATCTGTCTCTTCCTGATATCATACTTATTATAAAACCCAGGTTGTGTGTGTGTGTGTGTGTCTGTACGTTTATATATTGGATCAGATTTCCTACATTTGTCAACCGATTTCAACAAAACTTCACAGGACTATGTAAAATTACCTTGCGGTGGTTCTGACAGCGCCAAAATTTGGAAAAACGCAACTGTTTTTGCATGAAATCAATTTGAAAACACGAGAATGAAAGAGGGACAACTCGTATCGAGTTATACTTATTATAAAACCCAGGTTGTGTGTGTGTGTTCGTTTATATATGGGATCGGATTTCCTACATTTTTCAACCGATTTCAACAATTCACATTTTTTGGGGGGCAGGTAGTGTTTCTTATTGTCTTGCACACTTTTTTCTTTATTTTTACATTCAGAATGCTTTAAAAAAACATTTACAAGACAATTGTTTATAATAAAATTCTATTCAATTGGTAGACTCATAACGATTGAAAACAATGTTTTTGTTTGAGTTTGGGTTCGACCAATTCGTAAAAAAAACAAAAAAAAAAAACAAAACAAAACAAAACAAAACAAAAAAAAATAATTAAGACATGTGTGTCCGTCAACCTTAAACAATAATCTTTGTCAATTTTATTTTTCAGTCTTTATGATGGTCGATACTTGATCTATCTCTTACTGTTACATCCCCGGGCAACGCTGGGCTCTACTGCTAGTTAACTATAAGCCTCCTCCTTATTTGCAACTTCTCTAAGATTTCATAAGTTGTTCACACGCTCGGTCCATGATATCCTTAGCATCCTTCTGTAGAACCATATCTCTGTCGCTTCGAGTCTCTTCTTCATCTTTGAGGAAATCGTTCAACATTCGCTGCTGTAACGAAGGACCGATGTCAAAGTTCAGTACTAGTCCATATTTTCTAATTATACACCTTCTCTTTCCTTTCCTACATTAGCATGCCCTGTCGGTTGCTGCTTTAGAATACACTGGCTACTCCTCTGCAGGGGGTGTGTAATACCACCACCATACCAATGAGGCGTATGACGATAAACTACATCCACGTCATGTTTGTTATGATAAACTACACCCGGAAGGAAAGGCCTCCTATCAGAACGTTTTGTGGAGAGTGGAAACACCTCTCAGTTGATGGTGTTCCAAGGTCTACAATTTTTATTTTTAATTATTACCAGCAATATATATTTTTTGGAAAAGGAAAATATTACCAGCGATATAATGTTGGAGAAAAGAAAACATCACCAGCAAAGCGTATCTTGTTGGCATTAAATAACCCACTGAGGTTGATATGCCGTAAAAAAAAAAAACTAAACCATCCTATGTTAGCATTTAAGTTTTCCATGATGGATATACCCTGCGTTTTGCTTTGCTGTTTTCTAGTGTGCAACAAAAAAAAACTACCAATTCCCTCTTCAGTGCTTTGTGCTGTTGGCGCTTCTGCTACAGTAATTGATATTTTAAACGACTTCCTTTTCAGTTTCAAAAGAATAATTCTGTCAGACAGTTGACAGTATCCGAGAACACATTTCTTCATACATTTATATAGTACAAATCCTTATCTTCTTTCTCTATTCTACACGCTGGCATTTATGACAATGAATACCTCACTTAAGAAGTCACCATGCTTAAAATGTTCATTTCCCGTTTCTTATTTTTGGTAGCCATCATGGCTTGTCTTTACATTCCAAGTCCCTTTTTTTTCTTTTATTTTTCCATTTATGGCGTACAGTCGCTCGCTGTTGGTCATGTGATACCCGTCGTGCATGTCTCTTTTTATCGGACGAGCAGTCAGTATGGGTCATGTTCTTCCGATTATCTTGTATAAATGAAAGACAGAACATGATGTGGAAAGCATAATAAAGTAAGAAACATTACTTTGACTTAGTTGTAAGTCAAATTCTATGAGAGCCATGATTGCGAACGTTCTGAATGGACACAGAGGATCCACAAAGACGGATAGTAAAGCGCCAAATCTTGCTAAGAACTACAAGTGACGGCAAGATGTGGAGAGCTGAAAGCACACAGCAGAAAATGTTGAAAATGAGAAAACAATGTCGATGCATGGCCCATATATATTTCGATAAGCAGTGAAAAAATGATGCATCTATATTTATCCCGAACCTGTGTTTTCTGTCTTATCGGTCTTGTTGCGATTGAAAGTAACGATATAGAATAACTAGCTCGTTACCCGTAACACTATAGCGAATATCAGGAATCAGTATGCGCTTTTTTTCTTTCTTTTTTGTCTTTTGTACGACTTTGAGATTTAATATTTTTGCTGGAGATTGTACCGGAGAAGTCGTTGAATTCAGATAGAATTCGTTGTCTGCCGCTGCTGCTACACCCGCACTCAGTGCACTTCAAACGCCTATTGTTTTCTTGTTTATTTATTTGCCTTATTCGATTTAATTTACTTAATTCAATTCTTTTAGCCTTCTGCGTCCGTTTCAATGAAATTTATGCAGCTTGAGGTTGCTTTTCTTTGTTCCGGATTAGGTTTGAGAAATCGTCGTTAGCGGGAGTTGCGTGAGTCAACGTTGTTATGACTAAGAAGCTACCAATCGCTTCTTTCTTTAAATCTAATTTTAATGAAAACACCGCTATTTATTAGAATATGTCGTAAATGTGCGTTTCTTTTTCAGGATGAGATTTGAATTTTGCACTGATTTAGTAGCAACGATGTCCTTGATGCAGTAGGCCTTGTCTTACTTCATCTCTCTCTCCCTCTCTCTCTATCTCTATCTCTATCTCTCTATCTCTTTCAAATCTTCTTTTTGATGTTTCTGCAATTATAATTAACACTATTACGGCAACGATTCATGATTAATTTTTTTTTAAAAAAAGTTCAATTATATTATTATTTTTTTTTTCTCTTCATTAACAGCGAAATCAATCTTAATGCTATTGTTTTCAAAATATTTTTAAAGTGGTAACCATGATCAGTGTAATATTTGCGATTGTGTCAGAGAGGCTAAACATTTCATTGGCTCTTACAAAAATTATCATGATGATATTATTTGCACTTAAAATATAATTGATTGACTTCTTAATAATGTTAATAATAAGAATAATTATCATTTATGAATAATGAAAAATACGTGTGCAACAATTACTACTACCGTTATTAATATTAATACTATGGTATTATCGTTCATGAGAAAAAAACGGTCTCAGATTATCGGAAGATTTCATATTAGACTTAATCAGTGCTTTCATTCCTGTTTTTATTTATTTATTTCTTTATTTAATGAAAAGATCGCGAAAAATGGATTACGGACGGAGTGGGAGGTTTGTGGTAATATAATTAGAAAAGTGTTGTTTTGTTTTATTTTTCATTTCGTTCTCATCGTGTACATTATATGACGCAATCAGGATGAGTAGTTTAAAATATTTTATCATTCTAACCTGAGAACTAAAAATAAAAAATAAAGACACTGCGACCAATTTGGTCTGATCTTTTCAGATGGTTCAAATCACAATACAACCATCTTTTAATATTGCTTTCTAGAATTAACAGAACTGTAGTCATAATTTTTGTAGAAGGTGAATCCAATTAGGTGAGTATAGCCGTCGCCAGCCACTGGGGAGTTTGCCTCATGATTAAATTCAGATTTAGTCGAATCAGACTGTCAGAATAGCAATTTTTCAGCATAAACAGATATACTTACCTTGATAGATACCGTTCAGGTGATACTATCTGGTTTTAATTTAGGCAAGCTCAGCACATCCTCCTCTGAGATAAAAACAAAAAACAAAAAACGAAGAATTATCAAGTCATGAAAATAGTTTCTGACCAAACAAGAGAGGTTCGTCTTTTGCCCTATACGCAAAGGATACCATGGGCTGAACATGTGAGCAACGACGAAATTTTGTGGAAAATCGAAACAAAATCGACAGGTAGAATGCATCAGTGACAGAAGAAAACAACGGATAATATACTTAGCGAGCTTGCCTAAATGGATGGCGGAATAAGGCTTGGGAGTAATAAATGAAAGACAAAGTTTATTAAGAGCTAGAAGGAACAGGAAGTTGTGGTGAAGCAGATTCGGCTATGTCTTGAACGAACACAGAACATAAATAAGGAATGGCCATCAATTAGACCCAAGCATTAGTAGTCTCATTTGTACTACTCTTGTCGTTTACCTGCCCCCTCGCTCATACTTAGGCGAACACTCAACAAATACAACATACCCGTGAAGCACATACTGACGACTAAAAATCGTCTTGTTAACATCAGCAGTCGAATCAGATACCCGATCGAAACGACCGTTCATAACTATGAGATAATTCCCACACACGGCTGTGTTTTCCTAACATAATCTCGTCCTGGGTATGACGATAAACTACATCCAGCAGCAAGGCCTGTGATTAAGGGGTTTTGAAGAGCATGGAACCACCGCTAAATTGCTGTTAGTAACTGTATGGGTACCCGCTTTAGAAAAATTGCTAACCCCCAAACTGGTGTCAGAACATGAATATGCATAAATACATCAGAAAAAATTACTAGCAATACATTTTTTATATATATATATATATATATATATATATATATATATATATATATATATATATATATATATATATAACAACCAGCAATACATTGAAAAAATTAAAACATACAACAAAACATTTTAGGGGAAAACAAATTACCATCAATACATCTTTGGGTGGTGTCCTCCATCTAAAAAGTCTATGTTGGAATCTTCCGCCTACTATAAGCTTAGTAGGAGAGAAGGCCTTGGGAGAACATTCGAATAGATTGTCAACCAACACACACTCACTAGTTGTGTAATAATCTACTGTTGTACTTAGTGTTTAATGTATAATATATCTACAACATTTGCCTCGTTAAATCTAATTTGACGAGGAGTAAGATGTTGCGAACAAGTAAATGATTAAGGAAATAACAAAACAAGGGTTGGACATCACAACAAAAACAATACAACTTTGTGGAAAAAATTACCAGCCATACATTTTGGGGGGGGGCAGATACCAAAGCTCACGAGAGCATAAAATTTTGGCATTAAATGACACATAAGAAGTTGATATACCGTTAAATAAACAAAGCAAACCAAACATGATCTTCCTCTGCATACACGAAGCGATGCTAATTCCCACGTATATACTACGATCACGATATCTCTAACCATTTTTGTTGATTTCCCAAGGCGAAAGCAAAAATAACTCGACTTTTACGCTAACAATGCTTCTTACGCATTTTTGTGTGCTACCTTTCATTTCTTTTCTGCTAGCTTGATTTATGGCACACTAGATGAAAGAAGGCTTGGAGAATCTGATACTCACGGGAAGATAGTGCAAGAGGTACAGAGGAAAGGAAGCCATGACATACTTGGTGATCTTGACTAAATGGAGCCAGAAGGGACAGAAAGTTGTGTAGAGCCATGATCGCCGACGTCCTGAGATGATACGGCACAGAAGGAAGAAGAAACAATTGATCAAGATTCTTTCAGAATCCTCGGTACTGTAGCGACTGCCGCACAATTAACAAAGATCAATTGCTCATGGGGTAACAAAGGATGGAAAAAACGATAGCGAAATCCGAACGCCCTCTGGAATAGCAAATGAGACGTTGAAAAAGCTACATATGTACGAAGGAACATGTAACTTCCTTTACAGAGAAATAAGTGCTGAATTGCTATGCTGGTTAGTCGGTTGATTTTGATTAGCGGCATATCAACACTTTATGGGTCATTTAATACCGAAATTTCACTTTCTTGGGAACTTTGAAGTAATAAAAATATATCTGTTATTCTGCTTTCACAAATGAATACATGGTAGATGATACTCAACTTTGGTGCAAATACATGTTTATGTGGACATAATTACTAGGAGCCTCCGGTGGAGTAATGGATAGCCGAGTTCGAATTCCAGTCGAATCCATTACATTCACTTACGTGCTAATACCCTTGGGAAAGGTGTGAATCCTCTTCTTCTCCCTCCAGCTATGGGTAAATAGCCTTGGATGGCAACTGGTCTAGGAGAAGGAAAACTCTGAATTCAAAACCTGCGGAGGGCCGTTTGGGGACCTTGTGGCACGTAGTGCACCAGGTCTCCGTAATCGCCCCTTCAAAAAGTGTGGATGGTCCTGAATCAAACCTTCACCACTATAATCAAATCTCATGTGCTATACATGCGGGTTGGGGACCGCTTGTGAATTCCAAATTCCCATGAAGCTCCAATATTGGAGCCGGCTCAACCCACTTCGGGTGAATACCGTTACAAGAACAAGAGAGAGAGAGAGAGAATTACCAGTTGGGGGTGATATGTGTGTTTTATATTGTAATTTTGTTGAAGTTATATTTTGGAAGTGTGATTTGTTTAAAAATCTGGAGGATATTAAACAGATTAATATGCTGTAAGAATTATTTCGTTTTGGTTGTATGGTTGGCTGATTTTGTTTAACGGCATATCAACACTTCTATGGGTTATTTAATGCCGAAATCTTAATATTTTGAACACCGTTTTATATTTTCAAATACAGATAAAATGTGTTGTTGGTCATTTTGTTAAAAAAAATATATTATGGTTAATTCTGATTTAAAAATGCATTTTATTTATAATTTTACTATAAATATGTATCGGTGGTATACCTTTTTTTAAATATAAAAATGTATTGATGATATTTGTTTATTAAAAAAGGTATTTTTATTCTTTCATAGTGCTTTGCTTTTGCTAGGGGTTCATTATTTATCCATAGCTTGGCCCCTGACAGGTGTTACCACACCGGGTCAGGGTCGACATAGGAAGAATAGCAATTTAGAGGCCTTGTTGTCCGATGTAGTTTATCGTCATAACCAGGACTAAATTGTTATGTGATATCCATCTTTTTATATGACAATTAATACTAAATAATCTGGAGGTAACTGAAATGTATTTCGAGAAAAGGATACTGAGAATCCCATAGACGCAGCGAATAAAAAAAGGAGGTCTTAAAGACAATGGTAACAGACAGTTATACTCAAAATTAGAAAGAGACAGCTAAAATTTCTTGAATACATAATCCTCACAGAGAATTCTCACAGGGCACCCTCAAGACAACTAAGAAAGCTGAAAGCAGCGATCCACTTACTTCAAGTGCGTGTGCGAATGCATAGATTAAGCGGGACTGGAGTCTTGACAAAATAAGAAACACTCCTAAGGGTCATAACGGAAAGAAAGTGCTGGAGAACCCTGATCGCCCACGCCAGGAAGGATACGTCACATAGAAGAAGATCTTGTTCGGTAGACTGGAAATGAATTATTAATTAATAAAATAATTGATACAGATGAGAAAAATTATATTCTTTAGAATATAATATTCTAATGACGTACTTTAAGTAGGGACGTTATCAAAATTAAAAAAAAAAACCTCTTCTCAGTTAAACTGGTATAGGTAGATGGCGTTAATATCTCTGTATGCAAGGGAGTTATTGAAGACATATTTAATCAGGTAATTACCCATCACCTCTTTTATGCATCAACAAACGTCTCATACTATTAAACAATTTCTGGCATATAGCAGCAAAGACACAGAGAGGTGTGGATGTTATACGCATCGCAAGAGTAATATTATTTATCGAACAGAAATTTAATACAGAACACTTATTCGAGTATCTAATCAGGGAAAACGATTTAGTATTTTGTTTAATATGTTTACAACAGATAGTATTAAGCAATACGGAGAAGTTACACTTTTCTCTACAATATATATATGTATATATATATATATATATATATATCATTACAATAAAATCGAAATTATACGAAGAAGGAAACTGCTCAAATATGACAGACAGAACGAGCTGTATAACATTACAAAAGGATTATAAAGTGAATTTCTTTAATCTTTAATTCTTTCTTATCTATCTATCTATCTATCTATCTATCTATCTATCTATCTATCTGTCTGTCTATCTATGTGGCCGTTTGTGTGTGTGGCGTGTGGTCAATGAGCGTATTCCACTTCCCATGACAACATTTTAATTTTAAGTTAAATATCCTTCACCAAAATTCACGTATCAGACACACACACACACACACACACACACATACATATATATATATATATATATATATATATATATATATATATATATATATATTCAAAAACGTTTGGTTAAAAAATGATACATATGTCGATTTATTTTAGTGATGACCCTTTCAGCCTAAAATATATACACACTCTCACACACACACACACACACACACACACACACACACACACATATATATATATATATATATATATATATATATATATATATATATATATATATGAGAGAAAAGGAGAGAGAGAGAGAAATGTATAATATAGAATGTACACATATGGAAATAGAAATGTTCCTTCGGAAGGTAGGCTAAAATTGTTTTCCTTTGTTTCTTTTTCTTTATAATATCTATTAATTAGTAATATTGTCTTTTGGGAAAGATAGTGGAATGTTGCGTTATACACAATCCACAGTTTTCAATCGCATCAATGTCCTTTAACACTGAGGTCTACTCTGATTTAGAGAGTTAAATCTACAGTATTTTTAACACATAGCTGTTGCGGGCAAAACGATTTATAGCATTTGCAATGATAAAATGAACGTAACACTGTAGGCCGGAACTTGAACACGGTTCGTGATGTCTACGTAACGGTGGTTGCAATGCGGTTGCCTATCGATAATCCAATATATGAAGGCAATTGTAGATAAGTTAAACAAAACAAGAAAAAGATTATGAGACTTTAAGATCTGAAATTTAGTAGAAATTGCAGCGGCCGTGAACGGTACAGAAATAGGAATAAGAACACGATAACGTCGGGTGTATCAAATGAAAAGTTTCTGACAACGTTCCTGAAAAGATATCAACTGTAAACAACTGTAGAAGATATGAAAACATATCAATCAAACTGTTGTGGTAAACACAATATACACGGGCAAATGTGTTTGAAAGAAGTAGGAATATTTTAAATATTAAATGAGAGTGCTGCAATGAAATGTTCAGTTTCTATTAAACACATGATTTTTATCTTTTCCATACATTAAATTAATAGTCATTTTGAACATTTTTTTTCCGATTGCTTTCGAAGAAACCTACAGTTTAATTATACGTTATCGTCATTACATTCTCGCTTCCATTTTTTTTCTTCCTATCAGCTTATTCATCGCAGGAAATTTATTTATTCATTTATTTCTTTAATGTACTATTATGAATTCGAAACACGATGAAATTGACACATCAGCGGATTTCAGTGACGTCAGCTTCCGTTTTATGAGGACAGAGAGGAAGT